ATTCAGCTGTTTCGGCCACATTAGAAGCTGCCATTCATGGGAATTGCAGGAGGTTTTCCAGAATGTACATGCTCTCTTTGCCATATTTGAACGGGTGCTTACTTCCACTGCTGGCCCTGGCAAACCAGCCTTGGTTCCCCGGGCATGAACTGGCACTATAGCCCTCCCTCTGCAATCACTCAGATCCTGTGGCTACACTGGCTACAGAGGCACACAGCAGCCTGCCACCCTCCAAGTTAACTGGGCAAGAGCCACACAGGAACCCCCACTGCTTAAGCTCCAGCCACAGGATGATAACGCATTTGGCTTCTTCCTCCTCCTGCATTCCTCAAGGAGGTTCAATCTGACCAGGGACTATTTTAACAAAGTTAAAGTATGGGTCTGGTTAGTGTTTATTCTTTTTTTTCTTTAATTGCCAGAGGGTGTTTGCATTCACCAGAGAGAGCCGGAAAGGCAGAAAAAGAGAGAAAAAGCATTTTCCGAAGAGGCATGGTCACAAAACAATCCCTTATCCTATATTTCTCCATCCTGTTGAGATTCTGAGCATGCATCCACACACATGTGGTGGTTCTCAAGCCACTGAGGCCAGGATTTGAACAAAGGTCAGTCATGTGGGATCTGGCTCCCTTAACCAGTGGACTGTAGAACCAGCTCAGTCAAATGAATTCTTAAAAGTAGCCACAAAAGATAGAAATTCTAAGCCTCATTAAATACTATATCTTAAGAATATTCCCAAACAAAAGTATGACCTAATCCTTGTGTTTTAGGCACAGATGCAGTATAATGTAATGAGGGTACTGGTCTACCCAGTCAAAGGGTAAATTCACTGTGTCTTTGTGTTGTTTTGTTTTAGAATTATTTACTTAATTTTTAATTTGCTATACGGTACATGCACTCATCAGAGAGAGACAGAGAGAGAGTGAGAGAGGGAAAGTGAGAAAGCAAGCTGCCAGTCTGAGACTCAAACCACACTTGGCCATGTGGAAGTCCAGCGCTTTAACCACCAAACTACCTGCTGGCCCCAGTGTGGATTTCTTTGACTAATGAAGCTAAGAGAGTGAAGCAGTAGAAACGGATGCCTTGCGGCCACAAAAACACAAATATAAATTTCCCAAAAGCCCTTAGCTAGCTGTGTGACCTTGGCCATGTTACTTAAATCGCACCATACCTCAGTTTCCCTATCTTTAAGAAGTAGTTAATAACATGGATCCAGTAGTTAGCGTAATGGCTATGTCGCTGGACTCCCATGTTGTCGACCGCAGTTTGAGTCCTGGACCCAGTGGCTTAAACTCATGCTGGACAAATGTGCGTGCGTGCCCAGGATCCCAAGAGGAGAATGGAGGAGAAGGGATTGCAGCGTGGCCATCCCCCCTGGGGGGTGATTTCTCGCCTTCTATCTCTCTGTCTATGTCTTTCTGGCGAGTGCATGCGCCCTATAGCAAAAACCTCTCCAAAAAATTAAAAAAAAAAAAGTAGTTAATAATGTTTACTTTGAAAGGTGGATGTGGGAATTCTAGAAAATAAGTGTGTGCCTGGCATGCAATAGGCACTGACCATGTTTATTCAACGTGCATTCTGATAATGAGCATATATTCCATTTTTAAAAGACAAACACACATTTATACAGAAAAAGGTTAAAGAAAAAAATCAATTTACTATATTTATTGCTAGAAAAAAATCACAATTCATTACTCCTTTCCCAGTAAGGAGTCTAAGCCTTGTAAATTCTAGAATCTGGAAATGCGGAGGACAGTACCCTGAGGCAGATCACAATCTCCCTGCCGCCCCGATTGAGATAAGGAGTAAATCCCATCCTTTTCCTTTTTCTGCTTTTGTGAAAACACTTTAAAGAGGAAGGGGGAAACTCCCCAATGTGGAGAAGTCATACCCATTCCCCAAACCTGCTTTGGTTAGATCTGATCCTCTTTCTAGTCTCTTCCCCCTCCCTGGAGCAACAGAGGTGACTCCTGTGCTGTTCCGTCAGCGGGGGAGCTGACTGTTCTCTCAGGCAGGGTAGGTGTTTCCCCAGAGAGACCAGTGTGGAAGGTCACTTCTGGCCCTGCAGCACTTGCCTCACTCTTCAGAGTCCAGCTCTGACACCTACCCCACCCCCAGAATGCGACTGAAGCTCCTGGCTTGTGAGAGATTCCCTGACGAATGCCACCGCAAGGTAACACACATTCCATTGCCCAGGTAACTGAGCCGTGTCTCCCCGCAAGTGTCGTTTTTTTCTCATTTGAGTCAAACTGCAGTTAAAGAATTGCAACTATACTGGCTCCATGGCCTGGTAGTTAGGGCAGCCAGATCCCACATGGCTGTCCATGCTGTTCAAGTCCTGAACCCACTGGCTTGGGAAACACACTGGATGTATGGGTGTGCATGCCCAAACTCTTAAAAGGAGGAAGAGATAAAGAAAAGATTGTTCATGACCATTCCCCACGGGAGTTTGCTTTCTCTTCTCCTCTGTCTCTCTCTTTCTCTGAAGAACACACAAGCCCTCTAGCAAAAAAAAAAAAAAAAAAGGAACCAATGATATAAAAGCCACCATTTCAACACTGTCAGAGTAATTCAGCTCATGAAAATACACATAATATTCCCAGGGATTTTATAAAAAGAAATCATACTTCTGGGCCAGCAAATAACGTGGAGGTTAGGGTAGCTGGACCCCATATGGTCAACAGAAAGGTTCGAGTCCTGGACCTAGTGGCTTGAAAATCATGCTGAGAGGAGAAGGGAGAAGGGACTGAAGTGTGCTCATCCTGCAGGAAGGAGATTTTCCTGTCTTTCTCTCTCTCCCTCCCTCCTTCTGTCTCTCTCTGGCTAGTGCACATACCCTGTAGCAAACTAAAAACAAAGAAACAAAAGCAACAACAACAACAAAAATCAAAACCACAGCTCTATTTTTCCTATGGGGGCTAGGTAAGTTTAGACCAGTGAGGCACTTCAGGGGTGGTCTGGGCTTCTAAACCAAAGAGAAAGCAACAAGACTGAAAAGACACTCTGAGCACAAAGGTTAAAAACAGGTGCAAAGCCATGTGTGTTGGAGAAACAGCCTATAAACCTAGCAAGTGGATAGGATTCTACCTAAAAACCCAGATCATTTTTGGAGTTATATGCATAGAAAATTTCAGAAAAGCTCTACACTCAAAAGAACCTGCATATGGTGTTTTGTCTTTGTTTCCAAACTGTCTAACTCCAAGCTGTTTCCTTGGGCTTGGCATCAAAGGGTCGCTATTAGGATGATTTCAGGTTTAATGTCCTAACGGCATGCCTAGCAGCACAAGAGGCTAAATTTCAAAGGTTATTTAGGAAACTGTCCTTCACACTCACCATTTCCTTCCCCTGAACACGCTGACCTTAGTCATACTTGCATAGCTCATGCCTTCACTTTGAAGCATTAAGTGGAATTAATTCTTTTCTTTCTTGGTGGAGAGGTTTTTGCTACTGGGTGTGTGCGCTTGCCAGAAAGAGACAGAGAGACAGAAAGCGAGAAATCACTCTCTAGTGGGGACAGCCATGCGGCGATCCCTTCTCCTCCATTCTCCTCTCAGGATCTTGGGCACGCGCACACACACACTCGGTGTGAGTTTAAGCCACCAGGTCCAGGACTCGAACCACGGTCGACTACATGGGAGTCCAGCGAGATAGCCATTACGCCAAGTGCTGGTCCCTATATTTGGGGATTAATTCTTACTGAGCACTGAGAAAATTCAGTACAATTTCCAATTTTTATTCATTTATTTAGAAAAGAAGGAAAAGTTAAAAAATGAAGGTCGAATTATTAAATAGTATCTATTTTTTCCGAGTTATTTCATCTCTGTTTTCCAGTTTACTCTTCTGAATATTGTTATAGAAAATGTTTTGTATGTTAGAATGTAAACTCTTAAGAAAGACATTATTTAATTCCATTACTATTTCTAATCATTTAGCCATCCACTCATCCACAGCCATGACCCCTTTGACAGAAGTCTCCCTGATCACCCACCTAAATCAGCACACTCACTCAAAAAACAGGCTCTCTATTATCTTAGAATGTCTCATTTTTCTTATTTCTCTTTCCCACCAGATCTTGTACTATAGAAGCATTAATTTATTTTCTGCCTCTTTCTTCCTCCAGATAAGTTCTATGAGAGAAACTCTGATTCGTTTTGGTTTTTCTAAGAGAGATTTTTGCTATAAGGCACATACATTCACCAGAGAAACAGAAAACAAGAAATTACCCCCTAAAAAGGATGGTCACACCGCAATCCCTTCACCTGCACTCTCTTCTTGGAATTTTGGGCATGCATGCACACGTGCCCAGTGTGTTTTAAATAGCTGGGTCTGGGACTGGAACTGAGGTTGACTCCCGGGGGAGTCCAGTGACATAACCATTTTATGCCATCCACTGGTCCTGATAAATTCTGTTCTTTTCACTAATATGTATCCGTTTTCCAAAGAAGCTGAACCACATGGCCACTGTTCAATACATGTCTCCAATTCTCTTCTGAGTAGGACTGAAGCCCAAATGAAGCTTCTGGAACAACATACAAGGTTCGATCTCCTTGGATATCCTTTGTTGTTTTAGTGTAAAAGCAAATGTATCCATCTAAGTTATCTGAAGAGTTTACACAAAAGCATGATTTGTGTGTTCGTTTGTTTTTTAAATTTGCCAAAGGCTATATGTGCTGCATGTGTGCTCACCAGAGAGAGGAGAGAGAGAAAGAGAGAAAGAGAAAAAGAGAAAGTGAGAAAACACCCTCCATGGTGTTTTTACTGATCCATTTCTTCTTTTGGAATTTTGGGCAGGCATGCACTTAAGTCCGGTGTAGTTCTCAATCCACAGGTCCAGGATTTGAACCACATAGCTATGTGGGATCCAGCCAACTTAACCTCAACACGACCGCTGGCTCACACTGTCCAATCTTCTCAGGCAATAATGTTAGTCAACACACCATCTGCCCTTTTCTCCAAATCTCAAAATGTTCAATGCTCACAGAAACTAGATCTTTTTTTCTTACCATACTGATCTGAAGAGCTGGTGAAGAGAAGATAGTCAGAAGCACAGGTCTGGGATTCGATGTCCAAATCTCCCAACTTCAGGATTAGTCTCTTCCCCTTTGGTACCGTGATAGTCCTTTCACAGAAAGTGTGATTGGGGTAAGTCCCTGGATAATTCTTAGATGTCACTGTGCCACTGTCCTGAGAGGTCACTATGTGCCCACAGCCATCACCTGGTAAAGAAAAAGAAGATGAAAGCAGTAAGTGCAATGTATTGTTACTGAGAATTGATAGTCCAGGACAATCTCCAAGTTACATAGTTTAGTCTTGTTTTATTTATTTATTTTTTTTGAAAATAGAAAAAGCTGAAAAATAAAAGATTGAATTATTAAATAATATCTATTTTTTTCAAGTTATTTTATCTCTTCCCAGTTTTATCTTCTGAAGAGTTACTCAAATTTTTCCATATATTAGAATGGAAAGCCCTTGGGAAAGAAGACATCATTTAATCACAGTATTATTTCTAATCATTTAGCCATCTGCCCATCCAAACTTACACAATAGGCCTTCTTAACATTCATAAATTTGCCAAGATAGTCCAATGGTCAATGTCATATAATAACTCACAATAAAAATAAAATAGTACTCACATTAGAGGGTTGTCCTATTTTTTTTTTTCCCCAAGAGATTTTTGCTAAAGTGCATGTGAGCTCACTGGAAAGACAGAGAGAGACAGAGAGACAGAAAGCAAGACATCACCCTGGGGATGGTCACACCACAATCCCTTCCCCTCCATTCTCCTCTCAGGGTTTTGGACATGAACACACATGAGCCCGGCATGAGTTTTAAGCTGCTGGGTCTGAGACTTGAACCATGGTCAATGTCATGGGAGTCCAATGATGTAACCATTATGCCATATGCTGGTCCCTAGGATTGTTCTATTGATCAAATAAGGCAACGTTTACAAAATGCTCCTGGTAGATTCTAAGGCTTATTCTGAGAGGACTTTGTTTAGGTGCAGGCCTTTAACTGAGGACTGATTCTGACAATCATTTGACATTTGTGTGTCAGTTAATGACAGTCACACATTCAAAGTTGCTCATAGACTCAAGATGTACCATTATAAAACATCAGGAATGTACTATTGGGTCATTGGGAAAAGTCATGACACATTTTTTGCATAGAAAAATATGTTGACTTTCCCAACGACCTAACACATTGAGTGTCTGCCACATACGTGGCATGGGACAAACTGTCAGAAACACAGAGAAGCAGCAAGGCTACCTCACAGAACTCAGAGCGAACTAAGAAAATAGTCACATATTTGAGTAGCTGCAATTCCAGGTGATCTGAGCAATACCAGAACCTAAATAAAATGCCGAGGGAACATGGAGAAAGGCAGAAGAGAATCTGTTCCAGTAGACTACTAGATTATTGGATTCACTAGAACAAGATATGATCTTAAGACATTTCTGGATAAGAGAAGGTCATCAAGTAATCAAGAAGTTGCTCCAGTTGATTAAAATGACCAAGTTAATCACACAAACACTGAATGCCATGCACAACTGAGTAGCTACAAGGGCAATGAGCATCCATTATATCAGGATTGCAAAATGCCTGTAGTTAGTAAGGGTTCACATAGGCAAAGCAACAGTTGGGAGGGAAAGCAGAAACCTGTAGAAAGGAACTCTCTGAGGCAGTAAAAGACGACATTTCCATTCCAATGTCTCCTAGAGAGAAGCATCAAACTGAGTATACTGGGAATCAGAAGACCCAAACCAGCCTCTTCTTTCTGGACCTTTTAACTAGCTTGAGTTGGATTTACCTGGAGTCCTTTATTCTGCCTCCTTTTTGCCTGAAAGCTCCAGCCCAAATGGTAACAGAGGTTAAAAAAAAGAAAAGAAAAGACTGTAGAATTTCAGAATCTATCCCATCAGCCAAAGCCTAGGGAAAGGATCAACTCGTTACGTAGAAACTTCTGGAACCAGCAGATGGTGTAATTGTTACATCACTGGACTCCCACGTAGTCAACTGCGGTTTGAGTCTCAGGCCTGGCAGCTTAAAACTTGGTGACACCAGGCTCATGAGCCTGCGTGCCCAAGATCCAAAGAGATTGTGGTGTGGCCATGCCCCCTAGGGGGTGATTTCTTGCCTTCTGTCTCTCTGTCTCTCTCTGGTGAGTGCATGCGCCCTATAGCAAAAAGCAAAAATTTCTCTCAAAAGAAAGAAAAGAAACTTCTGCAAGATTCTGATACTCCCTGTCAAGGGATTGATGGAGGAAGTAGAGCTGGCCTTAATAAAGTAATGGGTTAGGACCAGAAGACGGCATAGTGGTTACATCACTGAACTTCCAGATGGCCAACCGCAGCTAGGAATCCTGGACCCTGTGAAAATCATGCCAGGCATGTGTGTGTATATGCCCAAGATCCCAGGAGGAGAATGGAGGAGAAGGGATTGCGGCATGGCCATTCCCCAGAGGGTGATTTTTCAGTTTCCCTCTCATTGTCTCAATCTCCCTCTCTAGCAACTTCATATGCCCTAAAGCAAAACGTCTAAAAAAAAAAAAAAAAAAAAAAAAAAAAAAGAAAGAAAGAAAGAAAAAGAGAGAGAGAGCAATGAGCTAGGATAAAACTACTATGAAATTTTGAGATTGAGGCAGGAGTAGTTATGGGATTATGTGGTAGACAGGGATTAAAGACCCAAAGAATATTTTGAGAAGGAAGATAATGAAAAATATATTAAGAAAGAATGACCAAACTTGTTGGATAATGTCATAGGAACTAGAATGGGGGCTGAAGGGGAGACTGGGCCAGAAGAGCAATAAGAAGGTTAGAAAAGGGAGTAGTTGGTAGATAGGAAGGAAGAGAAAGAAAAAATGGGTAATTTGCAAAACAAAATCTACAGACTCAAGTTTTGGCTAGCTATAGTGGGAAAGACAAGAGGAGAGTAAGCAGCAAGGTTCTGAGTCCAGAAATGATTAGGACACTGAGGTTAATTTAGACAGAGGGGACTGGACAGTGGTGCAGCAGTAAAGCATGACACTCTGTGAGGCAATCCCATGTGAGAAGGTTTCCATTCAAGTCCAAAGACCTCCCTGATTATGCTGGGCATATACTTACCCATGATCCTGGGCTGACTGAAGGCTAGGGGTGGATTATGGCATGAAGATTCCCCCCACGCACACCGGGGTACTGTATCTCTGTCTCTCTTTCTATCTGTCTCCCTTTCTTATGGTAAGAATGAATAAGTAAACTTAGCACACACACGCACACGCACACACACACACACTCACACACACACACACACACACAGAAATGGCAATCCATCGAGAGCAAGTTTGTGAGCAAAGGTTTTGACTGTTAAGTTTGAGGTGACAGCTAGATTCCTTGAGTTCTCTGGCAGTTGTCAGCAAGTATGAAATTGTTGAGAATTAAATGAAAATTATATAGTACTACAGAGAAGCATATTCTGCAGAAGCACATAGCATATAGGGCTTTGGTTTAAAATTTAAGTTATTTGTCCACTTCAAAGCTATAATTAAAAAGTCCAACTTCCAGTTTCTCCTGTAAATGGAAAGATATGACGACCTCACAAATGGTCATTCACTTTCACAGGGCTAGTGACATGGTGGCTGTCTCTTTAGAGGACATGACCTAGCTCCTCACTGGGTACTCATTTCTATTATTTATCTTACCTTCATAGGTATTGATTTTGAGCACCCTGATAGAACAACCCAGAACAACTAGTGAACAAACAAACAACTATGCAAATAATTATACATGTAACTAAACCTCTCTCAGGAAATTGTCTAGTCAAACATTTAAATGCCTATTTCTTTAGCATATGAAATTGTCCTTTAATAAGAGAAGAGGGAAAAAAATTGTAGAGAGCACAGTTAAATCTAAAATGAGGAACAATTATGTGAATCAACCTACAAGTGATTATTGCATTCCAATTTTTTTTTTAAAGTAAAATGCCATGACAAAAGAAAATCCCAGGTGCAATTTATTTTTTTAGAGATTTTTTTCTATAGGGAGAGACACAGAAAGAGACAGTGAGACAGAAAGCGAGAAATCACTTCCTGGGAGGTGAGGCCATGCCACAATCCCTTCTCCTCCATTCTCCTCTCAGGATTTTGTGCATGCATGCACACGCACCCAGTGTGAGTTTCAAGCCACCAAGTCCAGGACTTGTATCACAGTTGGCCATGGGAGTACAATGGCATGCCCAAAACTTCAGGAGGAATAAGAAAAAGGGATTATGGTCTGGTCATCTCTCTTAGGGGGTGATTTCTCACTTTTTTTTTTTCTTAAGTATTTACTTTATTTATTTATTCTTGGAGAGGTTTTTGCTATAGGGCACATGTGCTCGCCAGAAAGACAGAGAGAGACAGAGACAGAAAGCGAGAAATCACGCTCCAGGGGGGATGGCCACATCGAATCCCTTCTCCTCCATTCTCCTCTCAGGATTTTGGGCATGCACGCATGCGCACCCGGTGAGTTTAAGCCACCGGGTCCGGTACTCGAACGGTAGTCGACTACATGGGAGTCCAGCGACATAGCCATAACGATCTTTTTATATCTGTCTTTCTCTGGTGAGCACATGGTTTGAAAAATTACAACAGATAAATAGATGAATGAATGAATGAATTAATTAAAAAATTTAAAAAGCAAATTGTTGAGGCCAGCAGGTAGCATGAGAGTTAAGGCACTACTCATACCACATGGCTCACTGAGGTTCAAGACCTGGACCCGGCAGCTTGAAAATCACACTGGCCACACATGCGTGCACGCCCAAAATCCCAGGAGGAGAATGGATGAGACGGGATTGCAGTGTGGCCATCCTGCCTAGAGAAGTAATTCTTCACTTTCCTTCTCACTGCCTCTCTCTCTAGTGAGTGTACACACACCCTATGGCAAAAACCTAAAAAAGTAATGAATTAAAAGCAAACTGTCATCAAAAGTTGTAGTATCACTCTTGCCTGTGCAAGTAGACTATTTATGGACGTTTTCTGTGGCAAGGACTAATCAATTTACTCCGAGTATTAACTACACCAAGAGTATACACTCTATCGTTCTTCTACAGATTTGATTACTTCAAATGACTAGGTAAAAATGTGCCAAAGAGAAAAACGGAAACCTGCTCAGGAGAGAAAATGGCAATGACGTCTAGTGTGGACTCCTGCAGCTGAAAAGCAGCAGAGAAGCATGAGTCCCTTGACCTCATCCTGACA